GTCTTTTGTAAAATTTCTTGTAGGACAGTTTTATTTCTTTAGCTACCGGTACTTATTTTATTGAAAAGAATACTACGCATTATAGTTACATAGAACAAGCTCATATCATTGTTGAAGTCGATACATTTTTCATCGTTTATTCATCAATTATTTTTATTTGTACATTATAAAAACTATAGTAAACCGATCTCTGCTCAAAATTGTTTTGAAAACGAGATGATTCATCATTTATTTCAAATCCATAACAACAATAATAATACCTTACTTTATCGAGGTGAGTGATGAGTAAAATGAATGACTAACACCCTGTACTCTGTAGGTACCCCACCCGCGTTTATATGATTATAATAATTTATAACGAAATCAAATTCAGTAGTAATTTCATAAAAAAAAAAACACTTCGTTATAACTTCTTGTAAAAAAAGCTAGGTTAAAAAAAAAATTTTGTTATGATTAAATCTTTAAAAGACGTGATATAATATGGAAATTAAGTAAAATGACGTTTTATAATATTACAAATACCTATGATGACAAATAAGATCAATTTTAATGTTAAATACTTAGTCAACATATTATGTTTAACTATTTAGCAGGACTTAGAAATATAGGTACTTAAATAAATATAACTAAGTAATCACTACAGTATTTACAGTAATTAACAATATGTATCAACAATATGTTGACTAAGTATTTAGGTTAACTAGGTATAGTTGCCTATTTGAATTATGACTTACCGACCAGATTCGACGTAATTTCGTCTGTAATATATATAGTAACAATTCGAGTTCATCATTTTTTTGTGAATCCAGAAGCAATCAGGCATTTTTCAGGCAAAAAATAATTTTATCTCTGCATGTAGACGTTTATTAATTTATTACGATTATGTATTTTGAACGTCATACGCAATAATGTCAAAACAATCTAATATAGAATGAATAAATATAATAGTGTAATCATATAATACAAAAAATATACTGCAACAATAATTATATAATTATAGGTATAATCACGTAACAAAAACAAGAAGTTTAGGTATAGTATAATCACAACCAAAACCCTTCGTAAACTACGTGTAAAAATGGCTAAGTGAAAAAAATATAAGATCTTTAAGCACTATAAAGATGTGATATCATGAATAAATGCTAAGTATATTGAATTTAAGTAAACTTAGGTATTTTGTTTCAATAATTTATTTATTTGGCTAGGAATTATTTCTTAAAAGAAACAAAGTGTGATGAACAAAATAATTAAATGCCGAAGAACTATTAAAATATAACTTATTATTATTTAAAAAATATTATTATTATTATTGTATATGTGCGTGGCCTAATAAAATACGTAAAAATGTTTGGCTACATAATTCATTTGCGCACAATTTACGACAGTAAAAAGTAGAATCCTTTTTTCAAAGAAATTTGTCCACATGTATATATCCAGTTTGTACCTACATAATCTGCGTACCTCCAAATTTTCGAATTGGTCATTACTGACGGTGGAAAATTATTATACTCAAACAACATTTTCCTTCAGCTTATAAGGCTTAGGACTTTCTATCTTATCATATTCTGATGTTATATGACATTATGACTTATATGTTACATAACTATATAAATATAAGTGTATGACTAGCGGATTTAAAAATATTGTTTGAACTATTTATTTTAGAACAGCTGCCTGAGAAAGCCATTATTCACAATTTTGTCAAATTTCAAATTACACAAATTACAATTAGATCAATCATTTTCTTTATACAAAAGTCATTAAAATTTACAAAATGCACAAATTACAATTACAATTATTTTTCATAACAAAATATTTATTTATTTATTTGTTAATACATAATATTTATTATTTTATATTTATTGGTATGGATTTGCATTAAAAATGTGAAAAGATCAATTTTTTTGGATTTGTATTGAGAATATATTTTTTTCATGTAATTTTTTTTTTTATTATTTCTATTCTACTCAAAGGTATTTTCTTTCTTTATTTTTAAATCAGTATTGACTTGAATTTCTATAAGTATTTGAATAATTTGGTGAATGTGTGGGTAAGAGGTATACAATTTACTATTGAAGTGCCTGTGAACATTTTCAGCTCCGTTCGTTTTTCTTGGGCTATATCTGGTTCAGTAGCCCATAATTCAACAAGGAGCTATTGAAATTATTTCAGTAAATGCGTCCGGAACTTCATTAGAGTTTAAATCAGGTAAACGGAAAAAGTGTTTATTGTTTAATACTTTAATAGCCACCTTCCAATTTTAGAATCATTTTTCTAGTATTCTTTTAATAACACTTTATTTTTTTTCAAACTCCTGAACCAACTAGGTATGTCCTTTATCGATTGACAGGTATTCAATTTATATCAATAATATTGATCGTGTTCGGGCAACTTAAGACATTTAGTACACCCAAAACCACGAACTACTACGTCATTTAGGACTGGAGTACTGGACACTCCTGGCAGGGAGAGGGTGGGACACCGGTCACAAAGTTGTACGAGTCTGTACGTTTACGACTGTGATGCTACCTAGTGACGTGCCTACTAGATTTACTACACATTTTATGGCATTAAATAGCAATAATGTCATAAAATATAGGTACTACTTAGTAATTAGTATAGGTTGACGCTTAGCAGCTCAGGTCACATAATAGGTCTTCTCTCAGCATCGTTTTTCGTATACAATGATTTTATATCACAACCCTTTTTAAAATTTATTTCCAATTAATTAGGTACCTGTAAATAGCTTAAAAATTGAATGATTTTATTTTATGACTTAGGTCTTAGAGGGAAATGTGAATGTGAGTGAGATCTGTGGTGTAGTAATAGACACAATATAACAATAGACACCAAGTAACAACCACAGGATAGATTTAATCTATTCTGTGATAGGTACGTTTCGTCGTTTGATTTTCCAACTTTAAAAAAAGTCGCCCAAGAAAATTGGTAAATGAATCTGTATTACATTGCAAATTACAAAATCTACGATGTCATTATTGTGACATCGTAAGACCAATACATTTATTGCTCTGCTCAGTATCTTTAAAAAACATTATTAACTTTATATCGTGATAAAAAATAACTTCGTGAGGTAAAATAAGTATCTAATAACTCGTTAAGCTTACCTATATAGTTTACAATGTTGTAAAAAGTATCAAGGTTAGTCGTTATATTTTTTTAGTTGATATAGATATTATGTACGCGCATACGTCATAAAACCTATTTAGTCGTGAAAAAAATAATTCTCAAAACTTTTTAAGTTTTACCTCGTTAATCTTTATGGTTTTCTCCACACGCATATTAAAAAATAGACAGGTACCTATATAATATATACGTTTTTATGTTAATATAAAAAATACTAAAACACATAAGGATTTTTTCACTATTTTCAATATATGGGTGATTTTTTTATCGAAGAACACTCATTATTTCAAAAAGTATTAATGTTTAAGAAAATATTTTTTTACATAGTTTCAAGTTGTTAAAAAACAATATTTTTATTAAAAAATTATATTTTTAAATATTTTTTATCCTTTTAATTTTTTAAGTTTTTTACTTTTTTGAATGACAACATCTAATTTTAATTTGATATTCAAAAACAGAATATTTTTCTGAGTATTTCGATACATAAAAATTGAATTTAGGGCAATTAGTTTATGAGTTATAAGTATTTAAAGTTTAGATGAGCGGAGTAGAGTGTTACGGGGTTACCCCGCGAAATGTTTGTCCTCTACTCCGCTCATCTAAACTTTAAATACTTATAACTCATAAACTACTTGCCCTAAATTCAATTTTTATGTATTAAAATAATCAGAAAAATATTCTGTTTTTGAATATCAAATTAAAATTAGATGTTGTCATTCAAAAAAGTAAAAAACTTAAAAAATATTTAAAAATATAATTTTTTAATAAAAATATTGTTTTTTAACAACTTGAAACTATGTAAAAAATATTTTCTTAAACATTAGTACTTTTTGAAATAATGAGTGTTCTTCGATAAAAAAATCACCCTGTATATCTATCACCTGTGTTAAGACTTAGGGTATAGGATACATTAATACGTCAATGAATTAAAATAATAAGAAATAGGTGCGTTTTATTATATCGTTCTGATAACCTTTCAACTTTGATATGAGAACAATCATCCATTATATTGACACTCACAATTTACTTTTAGATTCTGAGTGGAACGTTGAATGTATTGATTCGTTTTATATGATGTGTTTTTTTTTTTTGTGTCTGTCATCACTCATCACCTTTTAGGACAGTAAAAGTGCTTGGATTTTCTTCAACAGTATCTTTTCTGATAGGAAAGTGAATCTAGTTGGTACTTTGGGGGGTCAAAAATTTTCAAAAGCGCCGTGAAAAACAAAAGAAAAATTAAGGAAAAACGGGAATTTTTACGCAAAATCTTTTTTTCGAGAAAATCGATTTTGGTTTTTGGTGCAACTCTTAAACAAATTACCGTAGGTACATGACGACATTTTGACTGAATGTTTATATTAGCATTTTCTATACACCATAACATTTTGACTTATTTTGAGCTCTTTGCGGACATTTTCAGTTTGCATTTAATTTACATGCTCAATATTTTGGTGAAATCAGAATTTACCTATCTTACTTATTAAAAAACCGGCCAAGTGCAAGTTAGACTCGCCCTCGAAGGGTTCCGTACCATTATCTATAATATATTATACAGTAGATTCTTAATATGTCGAAAGTTGCTATTTCGAATTTTTCGTTATCTCGAACTACCTACTTTGAATTTCCCTTGAAACTACCTACTATATTTCTTTATTCTGTGCTACTATTACACACTTAATAGTGTTTTGCTCTCGAGTCTCGATAACTCGATATGAAATTAATCGTTTTTCGTTATCTCGAGTTCACAAATAATAAAAAAAATATTACGGTTGAAACAGGAATTGTGCAGTATAGGCGTATAGCGATTGTAGTCACGTTTGTAGTCTTTCGTAGTTCGTTTGTTCGTTTGTAGTGAAATGGAAAAGAAGCGTAAATTAAATGTTCTTTCAATTTCGGACAAAGTTCGTTTAATACAGTTAGTAAGAAACCGTAAGAAATGTGAAATCGCCAATGAATTCAATATTCCACCAAATACATTATCGTCAATTATTAAACAGAAAGAGAAAATAATGAAGTTAAATTGTGGAAATATGAAAAAAATGAGGATGACTCCTTATTTGGACATTGATAAATGTTTGCTAAAATGGTTTACTTACTCAGTATTGAGATAAAAACATACCATTAAATGGAACAATTTTACTTGAAAAAGCAAACGAATATGCACAACAACTAGGACACACTAATTTTAAAGCTAGTAGTAAATGGCATTTGGAAGACGTGGCAGAAAGAACTAATATTAAGCAAACTTTAATGACAGATTTTTAAAAAAAAATGTATTCAGTATTTTCAGTATTTTAATTATTCAACTTATGTATTTTAGGCATTCGTATTAATGTATTATTTATTATTCATATACATACATACATATACATACATTATACAACATACATTTATATTATTTTTTTATTTTTTAATAAAACTCGATATCTCGAAGTTTTTGAGATCTTGAACTTTTTTCTGTTCCCCTTGAGATTCGACATAACGAGAATCTACTGTATATACTATATTCAGACAGATTTTTAGTATATTTTGTTGTAATAGGGGCAACGGAAATACATCATCTGTGAAAATTTCAACTGTCTAACTTTCAATGAGAATTAGTAATAGGGTCCCTTTTAACGTACGGAACACTAAAAATTAAGCAATTAAAGTTTATTGACCATAACATCAAAAATGAAGTAAGATCAACTTTTTTTGAAAGTACCATCAAATTAAGCATGCCAAAACACACTTTAAAAAAAAAAATTCCAAAAAATTGCTTGGAAGCTAAACTGCATTTTATGTATTTAATGCGTTTTTATGGTGTTACAAGTCACCCTTAGATTTTTTTTTGAAAAATAAAACTAAAGCTATACATTTGGGGAAACAATTTTATATACTTATTATTACAATATTCTTCTTTTGAAGTACGCTTTAATGTGTAAAAAATATACAAACCCCTAAACTCATATTCATACATCATATTTTTATAGGTTTTCGTACTGTTATTTAAATGAGATGAATTCTCAATACAAACTTTTCAAATTAAAATATCTAAAACCAAAAATTAGTTCTTGTGTTATTATTTTTTTTTAATTTTGATTCGTATTTTATATTGTGAGAAAAATTATTTATATTAAGATTTATTGGGTAGTTTCTTTTTTGTATTAAGCTAGGTATATCAAAAATACCAGCATACCCTACGAAAAAAGTCAGCGCGCACCAATAATAGCCTGAACTACTTACAACACAATTTTTTAAATATATATATATTAAAATTACACAGCCATTAAGTCCGATTTGGACACTGGAAAATAATTTTTTTCTGAAAAGAATCTATTGTCTACATTTTTAGCAAAAGGATAACCTAACCTAACTGTTCCACAATTATTACAATATCGCCAACGTAGATGAGTTGCTATAACAGATAACATAATCTATAAAATATAACCATGTGTCAGTCATTATTCTAAATAGTAAATGTATTCAATTTCAGAGTGACTTAATTTTACAAGAATTAAATTTTTTTTAAAGATCATCTTATATTATTTAACTTATATTATTATTTTAATTTTTTTATAATGGTAATCTATTTTTTGGGATTTGTAACATTTCTTAAAGGGCCCTCTAAAGTCATGGGACGTGGCGGCAATGCCCGTCATGCCACCCTATCGGTACCCCACTAAAACGACCAACAAGATTTAAAAAAAACAATATAATCTACTATAATACAGTACTGCATAATCATTGATAACAACCTATACAGTTTATTGCTCTAATATAGGTACATTTAAAGTTTAAAGATCATCAGAATTTTTCAAGGTAATAAAGTATTTAACAATTTTTATTGTCAACATAAAATATAGTTTTTAACTTGTACTAAAGTGAAACTGTAAAATTGAATAATAAGCACCTTAGGGCTTTGGAGCATCTATTCCATACACAAACATAACTAATAAAAAAATTATGAATATAATAAATGGACTTAATGTTTTACTAATGTGCAGTTTGAACTTTAAGAATTATAATAAATACATTTTCAGAATTTAGTTTAATTTACAGCTGGTCCAACTCTTATGGAGTCCAAACTCTCAAACGGACTTACTCCTCTAATTTTGGTCTCAAGTGGTTTTGAATAACACACCTGCAAGTTCAGACAATGGAATTTCCGTATCTGCTTTTGCTCTCTTCACAGCATCGTCAATTTGAGCTTTAATTTCTTTATCAATTAACTAAACAATAATAAATTTATTATTAATAGTGTTTAATATACCTACTTAAGTTTAGATTAATATATTTACCTTTAATTCATCAATATTAACTAAATTAGCTCCTATGATTTTTTCTTTGAAAGATGTTATTGGATCCCTTGTTTGTCGCACTTCTTGAATTTCATCACGAGTTCTATAAGATGTTCCTGGGTCAGACATAGAGTGTCCAGAGTATCGGTAAGTTGCTGTTTCCAAAACTAGTGGTCCTTTACCACTAGTACAATGATCTATGGCAAAACGAGCAGCTTCTCTGACAGCCAAAATATCCATGCCGTCCACCCAGATACCAGGAATATAATCTCCTCGTGTATAATATGCTACACTAGCAGATGCACGTTCAGAGCTAGTTCCCATGCCAAGCCATTATTTCACAAACATACACAACAGGTATATCCCATAATTTTGACATATTGTAAGCCTCAAATACTTGTCCTTGATTAGCAGCTCCATCACCATACAAGGTAAAAACACACACCACCAGTACTAAATATTTAGCAGCTAATGCTATTCCAGCACAACGGTGGTACCTAAAAATGAAATAATTACTAAACTAGAGTGTATAAAATTACAATTAAAAGTTGCTTTTATTAGAAAATATAAATATAAATAATAAATATTACTTAAATTTTAACTGTACGAAAAACAGAATAATGGATTTACCTGTGCTCCAACAATTCCGTTGCCTCCATAAAAGTTTTTAGCATACATATGCATAGAACCACCTTTACCACGAGCATTTCCACTTTTACGCCCAGTTAATTCTGATAATACATTAAAAGGATCCACACCCATAAGATATGTCCAACCGTGAGCACGATATGCTGTAATTATTGAATCCGTATCACGGAACATAGCTTTCATTCATACAGCACATGCTTCCTAGAACAAATTGTAACAGATGCATACTATTATTAAACAACTATGATGTATGGTTTTAAATCAGCAAACAATCTAAATTAGATAGCAATATGCATGAAAACTTTGTTAACATATTGTTTCAATTGAAATTTTAACAAATTATTAATTTACCTGTCCAGAGTAGAGATGACAAAAGCCTCGAACTATTTTTTCCTTGTACAAATTACCTGCAGCTGTTTCTATTCGTCGAATAGTTTGCATTTGTTATAATATTTCATAGCATCTTCTGAAGACAAAGGTGACGGTTGTACTGGGACCTTTTCAAGTTTATGCAACTTAAATGGCTAAAAAAATGAATAGTATACATAATAATATTTTTGGTGAAAATATCAACTTATTTCAATCTAAACATAAAATGTATCTATACCTTAGTTTCAAAAGTCGCTTCTGGTGCGCTTGAAAACAAACGACTCTCAAAGATGGATAACACATTCTGTAAAGAACAACAAAATTAATTTAAAAATATTGTACAAAATAAAAATAAAAACCTGTTAAATATCTAGGTTAATTCAACGTACAAAAACACTCTGTGCTAAAATGTTATGATTATAAAATTCTAAAAAAATAATAAATAATAATCAACACAATTAAAAGAAAACTAACAGATGACTCAATGCTCATAGGCCAAAAACGTATAAAAGAATTTTTGTTTTATTCAATAATATGATGAAGATAATAAATGTGATTATAAATATATAAGGAGTGCTTGGTAAATAATTGTATTTCATTCTATAAAATATAATTTTGAAATCAAATTTAATTATTAGTCCTAGTTACTGGTGTTTTGAATTATTAAAATCATCAATAAAATGCGTTTGTTATGTCCATCTTCTAAATGTGCTTAAATTGTATTCTGTTAGTTTTGGTAACAATCAATTTCAAAAATCTATATATTCATAAAAAAAAAACATAAACTTAAAACATTTATTGACAAGTCATATTTTTACTATAGGTAAGTTACTGAATTTCAAGGGTAGTTTCAAGTTTGTTACATTAGGTACCAGGTATCCAATTAGTATTAAAACAGGTATGTGCCCAATATGTATTTATGTAGGTACTCTGTACAAAGAATATTATAGGTTTAGGACAAAGTATACAATATATATATATATATATTATACACAATTTAAAATACTTTTTAGTTGATATACAGAAGTTGACAATGTATAGCTTAATAGTTGAATCCAATGATAGATATCACTAAGTTATTGAACTCATTGTACATTGGATAATATACCACTGATAAATGTATTATACATTTTACAAAAATCTGGATTGACGTATTCTGCAAGGTAATTCAAATTGTGTATATAGAATTTGAATGCAAAAATATTAAATAGGTACATCATTGACAATAACTACACAGTACAATTTGGATAGATTACCAATAGGAGTATATTATATAGAATAGGAAAGTTGATCAATAATAGGAATAAAATAAGAAACATTGCCATAATATAAAATTATGATACGTATCTATCAAATATTTTTTTAGAAAAAATATTGAAATGCATAATATGTCATTAATATATTAATAGCAATTTAAGTACCTATTGTTTTCTTTCAACAATTTTTAGTTACTTATAGGTAGGCACTTAAAATAATTTATAGGTATTGTTCATTATTTAATATCAATACACTACCTAATATTTAACCAATATTTCATAATTGATTTTCATAATTTGTTTAAATGAATAGGTAGAACAAATTATAAAATTATACATCACATTTTATTCGTTATTTAGTGGGAATTAGAGTTTTTTTATAAAAATAAAAAAATAGATGAATTGGAAAAAAAAATTGACCGTATTATTTAATATTGATGACGCAAGATTAAACTATTACTACAATATTAGTTTCACTTTAGCATTAATTGAACTTAATTAAACCTAAGGCTAAACTAAAAAGTGTTAAATTATTAAACCAATAAGTATTAGGTACCTATAAATTATTATTTTATTTTATTCTATATGTTAGATTTGACCTTCTGTAGTTCTGTAGGTTAAATAAACCGGTACAAAGTGTGTTCCCTATATGGATTTCTGTACAAATCATGTATTAAAATAAAATGTGTTACTTACCTTAAGACTGTGTTTTCTTAATACCGACGAACCGTTCATTTTGCAAACTTTTTGTTTTATTTCTCTGAAAAACTTGGCTACTTACATATACAATATTAGTAAACCGAAATATACAAATATTTAACAGTAAACACGAAGAGTGAAAAAAGGAATGTACCCACTACCCAGTAAAATGGTAATGTAATAGCAAATACTAATTGAACGGTCTGAACGGAATGATAAGAGTTCAAGCCCAAGGGCAGCTGCTGATTAATGCTGATGCCTGATGGGATGGGACGTATTTCGCTCTCGTTTTTTAATAGGTTAAAAATAATTAACAATATAATGAATGGAGAATCCTTCCAAGTTTCAGGTCGTAACTCACTATAACTCGTAGCTATGTATTAAGATATAGTAAAAAATATTCCAATGAAACCGAACGTAACTTCATTCATCTCGACTTATTGATAATGCGATTACAGTAATACAGTATGTTGATAACACATTAATTCAATTTTTTCACGATTTCAGAATAATAATATTTAATATTATGAACTCTTGCCGTTTCACAGTATTTCGTACTATAGGTTTACTGTGTTTGTTGATTTTATATTTGCACAGGTGTGTGTGTGAATGAACCTGTGATGTAAATGTAAATATTAAAATGCCTCTTTTCCGAGGTAAACTATTCGATAAAATATGTCGATTCGTAAAATGTTCACTGTGAGGGGTTCCATATTTTCCACCAGAGTCTCAAAATTATGGCCGAAGACGAGGATTTTCCTGGTCGACTGTTACACCAGGTATGCTGACATAGACAATTTGCGAGCCTCACTGTCGATACCTACCCCCATTTTCATTTTTTAAGCATAATCTGAATTGTGTAGGTTGCATTATGGGACAATGTAGACTTCTTGACAGACCTCCTCAAAGACGACGAGCATAAAAAGTTCATAAACAGCCGTGATTCATGGGGACGCACTGCTCTTCATGCAGCATGTTCAAACGAAGGTTCTGGTTGTCTGGAAATATTACTCAATGCTGGTGGTAATATTTCATTATTTGATGGTTACTGTTGGTTTCTTATTGGAAATTAGTTTTATATTTTTTTGATTTTAGCTCTTGTAGATACACCATGTGGTCCTCGTGGCGAGTCCAGGGTTTGTAATAATTATTATATTGTGTATAATACTTTTTTAAGTACCATTACATAAAAATGTTAAATCATTTATAAATAGATTACTTAAAATATAAATTTTATTTAATTAATATTTACTTATTTAAAACGAATATATTTTTTTTCATTATTACAGACAGCATTACATATAAGTGCACACATTGGATGTCCGAAAAACATCCAAACACTTTTAAATCACAATGCAAATTTAATATTGCAAGACTCTAATGGATTTACAGCACTTGATATAGCTCTTAATGCAGAAAATACTGTTTGCAGTAAATTACTGAAAGATGCTTCAGGTAAAATGAATAATAAATTCATATTTATAAATTTATATTTTTTACAATAGAACAATATTTTCTACCAATATCTTGGAGATGACTCACTGAACGATAATGTGTCTTATGACATAATTTTCTCAAAGTTAATAGATAACCTAGTTCATTACTATATTCTGCATATCATGACTCTATTTTTATTAGTCAATCTTACCTTATATCTTTCCCTCATAATGTAAGTCACTAAATTACTTTACTGGTAAAATCAACCGATACATAATATATACTACCTACAGTTAAAGAATATAAGTAGGTATTAATATCAGTAATTTAATTATTGGTTTGAAAAAACCAAAAATAGAACTTTTACTTAGTTACAGTATTTTATACATAAAGTACTAAAGTAGGTGTAAATTATCATTGATGCAAGATCTCCTTATTTCTCATAATTTTAGTTTGAATAAAATGATTACCATTGGTGAACTTGTTATTTACTTAAAACTTATAAATCATTAAAAACGTACTGTATGTCTGTATATCAGTATGAATAAGTTCAAGGTATAAATACCTTATAATATTAGTCTAAATATTTTTGATATTTTATTGTTTATAGAAAATAATAATGTATGTTAAGATGAAAAGTTTCAAGTCCCTCCTACTCTTAGTATTCTATAAGCTACAACAAAATAACTAAAAGCCGTTATTTTTTTTTTTTAATATTCCATGAAACTACTCATTTCCTTCTATGGTAGGGATGCCATACGTCCCGTATTATACGGGAACGTCCCGTATTTCATGACAGTGTTCCCGGGGTCCCCGTAAACAGATCCAATATCGTAAAAATGTCCCGTATATGAATTCTCGTCCCGTATGTCCCATAAAAATAGGAATACATTATTGTTTAATATTTGCATATATTTATATTCAAATGTGTTTTCAAATGTCGAGACAAAAATATTTTTAACCATGATGACTGATAACATATTATTAACATAAAATGTTTCGGTCTATGCGTTCCTATCACTTACCGTTCGGTAAACAATTGGAATCTGCTAATTCCTAACTTCAATAACCAAAGTCAAGATTGTGAATTACTGCATACTCGTTTCTTATCACTTATCAGTTATTTAGTTTTCAGTTATTCATAGTTTTCATTTGAATTTGATAAATATTTATTTAAAAAAAAATAAATATTTTGTTCCTATCGTTTCTGTTCTTAGCCTAATATTTTTTTTATTATTAACTCTAACAAAAGCAACTATGCCTAAAGTTAAAAGAAAGTGCGTTTTTAATGAAAATTTACATTTTTATTTACCTAGTTATTTTTTCTTAATTGTGAAATGTTTTGTGCCATATTTTTATATGGTTTCTTAAAAATCGTTTTTTCACAAAATAAACTGTATAACACTTATCGGGCTCTAACATACTGGGATGGTAGGTACCAAAAGGCCAACGTTTCAACACCCCCCCCCCCCAACCATAATTTAATTGTTTACAGTATTGTCCCGTATTTTTTATTTTGAAATCTGGCATCCCTATTCTATGGGCTCTTATGAAGTCCAATTTTGGGAAGTATCTAAAAACTAAAATATAAAAAGCTAGTAAATAGGTATACTTTGCTGTATATTAAGTGTCTAGAGTCACTATAATGGATGTGTTAAGAGGAAAGAATTTGTCAATTTTCTTGATTTTAATAAATTTTGTCAACATTTTAACTTGAAACTCTTAAAAAAAATTATTGGGGATTTACACTCAATACTAACAACAACATTATTAGGAAAGTCGTATTACATTTTCAAGGTTTTTGACCGAGCATAAAATATTTATTTTATCGACAATAATTTTAAAAAAAACTCGAAATTTTCTTATGCCTATAATTAGCTCAAAACGAATCGCAATATCTCAAAAGTACTATACTAGACTTCAGATTCTCAAACATTAACTGGTTATGTAAATATTTCCTTAGATTAATAAAATAAAAGCAGGTAAATGGGTGTTACTCTCCTGTAAAGTGGGTCACTGTAAGTTGTAATGTATGGTGACATGGTGTTAAATTCAATGATTCAAAATAGTTTTATATAAAAAAGGATTCTGAGCGAAGACGGTATGCCAGCCTATAATATTACCAAGTATATATTTTGATGATATTATTGTGATTACTGATTAAAGTAATTTATTTTACTATTAGGTATTAGTACAACAATAGCTAGGTTAAATCGTAAAAAATTATAATTAGACTGATTTTTTTGTTAGGTAAATGTATGAAAACTTAGGTGAATTTTATATGAAAATCTTAAATGTTAGATATACTTTATAAGTACAAAGACATTTTATATGAATTTCAGACTCGAAATAATTTGCTAACTTTCGTGATTTTGATGAATTTTATCAACATTTTAACTTCAAGTGCTTAAAAAAATTATTGCGGATTTACGTTCAACTTTTTATTCAACAAATTAAACAAAATCTAAAAATACAGTTATTATATAGTGTTACTGCTGGGGAGCTACTCCCCTCACGCTGTCACAGTCATTGTAAATTCCGCTCATATTATGCTTATTGTAAATAATATTACAGTCTGTAGTATATCTTCTAATAAATGTTAAAAAAATCTTATATTTTTAAAAAAAAAAAACTACAACCAACTATTTCGTTTTATAAAAAGTTAACAATTACGTACCTATACTACCTATATAATAATTGTATGATACCATTACCAGTGAGGGGTGGCAATAAGGGAGAGGGCTAGGGATCGCTCCCACCCGAACTGTATTTCTAAACAATTGCATACTGTTAAAAACAAAATTATAAAAAAAAAATCATGGACATTTTCTGAAAATTATGACTTGGCCCCCTCTACCATGTCTCTGGAGCCGGCCTGTTACCAGTTAGAACATATCACGTGAAGTAAGGACTGTTATTATATAACTGTTTTGTGTTAATCTTAATCAATTGAAAATAATACTATTACCAAAAAAGTATTATTATTACGTATTATTACGTATTTGGTATTTACGTAGATCTAGTTATTGTATAAAATATAAATGTATACTACTAGAATGTATATTTTGTTAATTTTTATATAACTCGCATGAATGCGGTTTAGTAGCCTTAAAATTACGATATCTAGTAGAGCCCCTGGTTTTCTTACACTCAACACTTCATTATTATTGTTGTGTAATCCAATCAATGTCAATAGCTAAAAGTTAAAACTAAAACCGTATCGAAATTATTTCTCAAGCAGGTATTGCATTACAATGGCTGGTTGGTTGCATGTGAAAGAAATATTAAATACTAGTTTTCTCATTCGATCAAATCAAATTTAAACCTAACCTTGTACATACAAAAATTGCAATATTTCTTCATGTCAAGTTTAAATATACTTACAATTTGTACGCATTTAAATTTATAATATTACGAAATACCTACTCAGTTTACGTAATGTTACCCGTGGGCCGTAGAGCACTTGAAGTACTTAAGTCTACTTGCCTACTCAGTACTCAGTGACGATTTCCGATTTTCAACAGTTTTCTGAGGGGAGGGCTTCTAAAAAATAGATATATTTCAAAGGTAATTCTAACCTATATATTTTTATTTCTATA